ACATTTAAAAACTCATTTGGGAGTAACTTGCCACCCCCACACGAAGGGCCACCATAATCCTGCCATCCTCTGTTCTATGACATCTTGGCAGAACTTACCTGTCAAACCATAAGGCTGGGCAGCAATTTGTCTCATAGTTTTCAAACCACTGATTTTCATAATGGTTAAAGACATATTCAAAATTTTCAGTTGCTTCATGAATTGGTTTTGGCAAATAATTTCTTCTAGGAAATCATCTATGCCAATAAGCTGGTGTCTCCCAGCTAGGACTCGGCAAACCACCCCCAGCTTCAAGTTTTGACAATCCCTAGCCCTAGGGATGAAATTCCTCCCACATTTAATTCTGTTGCCTCAGTGCTCTCTACCATTCCAGCCATGCAACACCCACTCAACCAATTCCCCATTTTCATTTCCATTGCAATACCCAGTGTGTTTCTGTTCCCCAACATGACCGTGACTGACACTTTGCCTATGCAGTCTAGATTTTCCAGTTTATTCTAGTCGAGTTATTTATGGTACTCCCTTACTTATTAAACTCGGCACATCTCATTTTATCTGTTTTCATTCCTGATGCTTGTTGCTATGAGCATAAAGAAATATCTGAGAACACTTTAAATCAGAATTCTCTCTAAATGAGATTACGGAGGCTTTTTTATTGCTACATATGCCTGTATTGTTTGCATTCATTTTATATATTATAGTATGTGCAAGAAAAATAATTTAGAAGGCTAGAACTAAAATAAGACCTGGGTTCTCTCACAAATAATACACAAAAGACACATGAGTGCCAATTGTTGTAATTTTAGCTAATAGACTCTCTGAAACCCCTTAGTGGCTGGTTTCTGCTCTAGTAGATGCAAGGGGAGTTTAATGGCAGAAGGACTGCCTGCCAATTTCTCCCTTTCACCCTTTGGAGAGATGGATCCACTGAAAGATGACATTTCTCATCTTTGACAGAGACTCCAGGAGAGTAATGTGCTACAGAGGCCCCTGTTCTGTGTGTGAGCTGTGAGGGGTGGGCTATCGCAAACCATCTAAATCACTAATTCTCAAAATGGAAATAGATAGGAATATGAGTGGGATTCATAAACACATATTAAGTGTTATGTCAAATTGACAGTAACACTGTTCTTTGCAGGACATAATATTGTCTAGTGGGAATATACCACACAGAAAGGAACTCCAGGGAGCTGAAACAAGTATCTGAGAAGGTAGGCAGATTACTCTCTCCAATAGTTCTCAGGTGGCTGACCTTTACCCTGAAAGCAAATGTGGGAATTGCTAAAGGCTTCACGTTGGGAGATGACATGATTTGAGTCTCTTTAGAATTCTTTTGCTGCAGGGTGAAGAGTGAATACAGGGGAGCAAGCCCAGAAGTCAGCTTAAGAGATAGCGATTAGGTTTGGAGAAAGAGATACTGCAGAGGTACAATACAGTTGGACTTATTAAGTTGGGGGTGGATGAGGAGCCCAGTCAGATTCCCAGGTTTCTGCTGTGGGCAGCTAGAAGATGGTGCCAGACTGATAGAGAAAGCTGGCAGCTACATGAGAGTATTTGGTGAGGATAAAAAGAGCAGATCCAAAACACACAGATTTTCTTTCCTTGCCTTCAGGAGAATGACCGAAGGCCCAGGAACGGATTCCAGGGCTGAAACCCACGTCCAGGTCTCCTGTCACCTTTACCTGAGAAGTGCCTGCTTCTGTGCAAACCCTACGGCTGTCCTCCCTCCCTCTCTGCTCAGTGAGCGGGAGTGTTCTAGCCTTCACCTCCATTCTCTTGATCAGCACAGCTGGAGCAGATGATAAATTCAGGGTAAAGTCACAATGAAAAAGAGTTACAGTAGCCCACAGGTAGACTTCAATGATCAAACAAGACACATATTAATAATTGATATATATTTTTATTATGCACAGATAACAGACTTAAAACTGTGGTTATCAAAACTATACATCTAAGCAGGTTCACAAATTGCTGACACATCGAACAGAGAAAAGAATACACTAGGGGTGTTCAAACTGGCCACAGGGATTTTAAGGGTACTCTTTTTACCCTCATAGATGATGAAAATCATCAACAAAATCAGGCTCATTCAGGAAAAACCAGAAGAGAGAAGTATTGTTATCTGGAAACTGATAATCATCCTTTCAGTAAAACATCTGTCAGTTTCATGAACAACCCCCAGATAAAGCCAACAGGATAAAACACACGATTCACCCAACAAAATGTGCTCTGTTAACACCACTAGCAGTGCAGCCATCAAGCAAACCATGAGGTAGTTGCAGTACAGAAAGACCGGCCGGCAAGCGGCCTCACACTCGCTCTCAGTCATGCCCACCACAGAACACACAGGGAAGGGTTTACAATCTTCTTACGAGATAAAGAAAAGACCATTATTTTCTTGTTGTTTAGAAAATGCTACAGAAACAGCTTAGAAGAAATCTCTGTCTTTCAAAATAGAGAGTGAGCGCTGCTAAACACCACATGATGGAAAACAACAGGCTGTTGCGCCTTGGAGTTTAGCGAGCATTTCAACAAAAACTCCACATCGAACAAAACAAAACGGCCTCTGTGAATAAAGGGTGCAGTCTGCAGAAGACTTTGCAGATAGAAGAGTTTAACTGGAATATAACAACAGTTTTAAAGAAACTTGCAGAACATGTTATAAAGTAGAGCTTGTAATTTGTATTAAAACTGTGAAGTAGGAAGCAATTGGAAAAATTCTGTAATGAGAAGTTAGGAAGAAAACTTTTTTTTAATGATCAGTTTTTAGTAATGTTTCAGAAATGCTGAATGACGTTTACTTTGATTAACATGGGTCAGATTTCATCAACAGGGATTTCTGAATAATACTTCTGACAATAAGCTAAAAAAAAATCAAAGATGATAGTTTTCTCCTCTTTTTTCCTTTAAAATCTTTTGGTTTGCAACTATAAATTTGTACATTTATTTTAAATTATTTATAAAATCATTGGCAAAGTAGCATCTCTCTTAAAAATATACATTTAAATATATTACAGAAGGTTTTAACCCTGTCCATCTATGCACTGGACCTTTCAATACCTCTTAATAGCTAATTTTCTTTTCACAAGATGGAAAGTTTTTTTAAAAGGCAAGGAACTGATCAAAAGAATTCACAGTAATTGAAATTAAACATCTCATATGGAGTAGTAAAATTTATCTAAAACACTTAAATATATCTTTATACACATATTTTTGTAGTAAAATATAGCTATAAGTGACTTAAAGACTCTAGTCTTCTTTGAAGACATCTTTAAACTTTTTTATACATAGAATATGCTAAAACAATACATTCTGCTGAAGGTTAGGCAAAGCGCATTATTTTCAAACACAGGTAGCGTAATCTAGGTCCTCCACTCTGATACCATCTATGTTAGAGAAGAATTAACCAAAGGGGAAAAATTCTTTTTTCTGACATCTTCATTTGTATGAGGAAATCTGCAAAATTTTCAATGTATCAATGTAGACAGCCTGAAAATCTTAGCTCCCAAGTAATCTCTTTTGGCTAAAATTATCCTGATAAATATCTACATGGAGCAAGTCAATCAGAATGTTTGTTACTCTGTAATTGTGCGACAGTGATCATTAATCTCCACCTACTTGTTTGCCTTGTAGACAGATTCTACTCTAGGTCTTGGGTGCCAACATTTCCTATTTAGGGTTCCATTCACAGAGAACCAGGCAAAACCTGCTTATTTTAAGGATGGTGAGATTTGCTTATGAATATTTTGGTGTACAGTCTAGCTTGTTCTATTTGTAGAATTCTGAGTCTGGGGGGAATTCTAGAAAAATGAGTACTATTTATTTGCAATGAAACTATCCTCAGTAGTAAATTATTTGGCATGGAGATTTTCCTCTGGCATCCTTTTTAACATAGAGGTATCAGTTGAGCTTATTTGAGCTGCAAAGTGGCATCATATTATTCCATTTCATGAAATTCACCTCAAATTCCTCGAGTCTGGGATAGAGCTAAGGCAAGAGAACTAAGGCAACCCAACAAGGTGCCTTTTTTCATATCTTGGTACTTTCTTGGCAGAATTGGTAAGATTACTGTTCAAATACACAATCAGAACTGAGTACAATCTGCCATGCCTTTGCATCTCACAAAAGCTTGGTTTTTCCAAAAGGATCTATCAAAATGGTTGACCTGTTCTAAGTGGAAACATGGGTATGTTTGGAAATACCAAACATATTTACGAATAAGTTCCAACTCGGAAGGTATAGGCCACTTTCAAATGGGAATGGATTTTCCGTTCTTCATCTGGAAACAAATAGTCCAGAAAACCTACTATCTACGTGTACTTGCACATATATCTTCAACTTTACAAATGAATTTTGTCCCAATTTTTATACTAATTCATCAGGACAAAACATCCTCAACAGGCACAAATCCACAGTCTCACAGGTGCATTATTTTCCCTTTCTCTAGACTGTAAATTAGTAGGAAATTTGCACTAAGACAATTTTGCAGTCGTGTGCAGTGTGGGCAGGAGAAGGGAATCAGCACAGTTTTGGCCCCAGGCACAAGAAAGGAATGTTGCCTTGACAAGGGTCAGGATGCATCCCTGAGGGCAGTGGCCATGTAACCTGACAAATCAGCCCCCAAAGGGTGTGGCAGCAGGTGACAAGTGTCCATGCAGACAAAGGTGCAAATTCAACAGGGCGGGACTTCAAAAGTCTCAAAGCATTTCTTTCGTTTTACATCATGGTTCAGTTATAAAAACCATCTTTGGCCACATCTCCTCACTGGTCCTATGCTCTGTTTCTCAACTTCTTGAGTCTCAGTAAATACCCAGGGTCCCATGATGGATCTTATTACCTGGACAAAGCAGCATTTTAAGAACTGGCATGTGTTTCACATTGAAAACCCCCAAGCCTGTGAGGGGCTGGTGAAGAAGGCCACCCCCTTTAGCTTTCTCACATGAATTCTGGTGTGTTACAGTCCAGGGGTCACGTTTACGGCAGCCCTGGGGGGGGGCGGGGGCGGTGGGGTGGTGAGTGTGTGAATACAACTGGTGATCTTTACATCGAAATTCAGTCTCTCCTTACAAGGGGTCCACAATCGAGCCTTCGAAGCCTGGGCGCGTGTCAGTGCGCATCAGCCCTGCTCCCCGCTTTTGGGCGGGCTAGGCTGTGCTGCTGCTGGAGCAGGGCGTACTCTGCGTGCTGCCAATGCTGTGCGCAGCGCTGCTGTTTTCCGATGCTGGCGGGGAGGTGGGGACTTGCTGCCTCCCTGCCGTCTCCCCTGCAGTCAACAGAGGAAGGGTGGGGAGGGAAAAGTTGTGTTAGGTGTGAGCACTCCTGCAGAGCACATTTCCCCAGCTGCTGCTCTCCTCCACCATGGCTGGAAACCACAGGATCGATGGCCCTACACCATCCGTGTTGTTTGTTGGTGCTTTGCTTTGAAAGCCTCTTGCAGGAGGGTACTCTTTCTAAGTTGACTGACAAGCAGTTATCGTGGCTAAGGTCCCAGAGAGTCGACAATGAACTCCCAGGTTCCAGTGGCTTTGGAAAGAACACCCCACCACGGGTCTGTGTACTCCAACTGACAGCACCCGTGCCCAAGACGCTCCGACCACGTCCTCCACGCAGATACTGCACAAGTTGGCGGGTGAGAAGTTTCAACTGTGGTAAGAGAACCTGGGCAGTCCAGGGCCTCCTTCTGAATGCCTGTGTACAAAGGGCAGTGGCGAAGCCTAGATGTCGCCCTACAGCAGAGAATGTAGCTAAGAACAGGGTGTCCAGAACTACTTGAGGAATGGAGGTGGGAGGAGGTTGCTACAGAGCAGGAACAGGGGTGGGAAGGGGTTTGGTTGCTGGCACGTGGGAACTGTGGTTGCCAGGGAGCCCCCCCACCCCCATTCTGAGGTTCACTGTGAGGTGCAACATGAGTCTCTCCTAACACATTAAGAATCCCACTTTTCATTACACACCCCAGTGCATTTGAGCTAAACCCCTTCCTTATGCCAAATGTGTAAGGCTTTGGAGAGGGAGGGACCCTTGGGTCACACACATGGTTTGCATTTAGTCCTGCAAAAAGCTCTAGAGCTAAATCTTTTCTTCAGCAGAACTAGCCTCAGGGCAGTCCTCAAAAATGGCTCTAGGTAGGGAAAAGTGATCAAGGGCTCTTGAAAACGACAGACACTGCCGTTTTCCTTGAGAAATCAGAGCATCAACTTCATAAACAGGAGCAATCTGCTCCCTCCGATGCGGGAATCCCCAGAGGGTCAGGTCTGTTTATGAATGAGCCTCCTCTTTCCTGTCTTGCTGAAGCACACAGCTAAGGGCCAGAGATAAGCAACCCTCGCTCCAGCTGCTTCGTCAAAATAGCACAGAGCAAAGGCACTGCCCTCCACGAGCAGGGTCCTGGCCAGTTCCTTCCATCCTCTTTCCCGGCCCCTCAAAAGCCTCTGCCAGAAAGCAGTTCTGCAAAACTTAGAAGGGCTCGTGCCCTGGGGTCTGGTTACAGCTTTCCCTACACCACTTTTACAAACACATTTCTGCATCAATCTCAGGGCATTTATATGCTTGTTGTGTATTTGGCAATGGCTACATTTCCTCCCGTTATTATGTTCTTTTTTTTTCTGGGAATGGTGGGATGAAGGGGGGATATGGGGTCAATATTCCTGAGAGGCCATGAAACACTGTAGTTTCACTCCTTTTCTGGGAAATCTGTATTTTGGATCATTCCCAGCTTTGTCTTGGGGGTGAGGAGGGATGGAGAAGAAAAGGGAGAGAGAAATTAAAGGTGGAAAAGTTTGCACCAATGACTGTGACTTTCTGCCAGAAATTCACTTTTCCTAGAGTGGGAGCTTTCATTCTAGAAGGAAATCCAATCTCTTAGCTATTCCGATGAGCACCCAAAGAACTCCTTAAAACCCAAAAACCTTCTGTGATCTGAACAATTTGTGATCTGCTTTCAGAGCTCATTCTCTTACATCTCCCGTGTGGATCCACACCCAGCTGAACCTCACTACCAGTTAACACTAATGTGAAGCACGTTTTAAAAAATTCCATTTCCCTGTTTAAACAAAGGATGCACCAAAACAGCAGGAGGGAAGTCAGCCCCTCTTGGCTCACCTGGGCTTCATTTGCTCAGTTCATGCCTGATGGCCTTGCCTCATCTATTGACAGTGAACAAGTTTGTTTCATCTAGAAGTTGACACATGCTGATTATTCATATTCAGGAAAAGTGCCAGTACTATTCCCTGCCCAGGAAGTCTGAATATTTGCTTTCCGATGTCTATTGCCAAATATAATTGGTTGCCATGTCAGTTTACTTTAATCAGTGCCCATGAAGAAGGCCTTTCAACTTTCAGAATTTTGGAAACTATGGTGCTGCTAATGTCCAAGAGGAAGCCCTGTGCAAAACACAACAAAGCAGCCCCCAGCCTCAAGGCTGCGGAATTCATGTCATCAACATACAGGACACAAAATAATCCAGTGACTCTCAACCCATGATGGGCCCAGGAGAATCTTGTTGCCGGGAAAGGTTGAAATGCTTTCTTCAGGTGATTCCTTCTAGTTCTGCAGCTACTTTCACAGGTCAGAAATGAGGTTTCTTGATACTAGCCAAGTTGTTTAAAAAATGTTTACCTTTGGAAGATTAAGACAGTGTTTATTCATTGGCAGACAGAAGTGACGCTATAGAAAAATTCAGCTGAAAGAGAGTTTAATGTATTGATGCCTCTGCTTACAAGCCAAGAAGTTAAGCAGGACTGACTTGGGTTTTCTGCTCTCCATCCCAGCGACCCTCTGATTGCTGGGAGTACTGATTTTTCCCTCAAATGTCTATTTCTCTAAACCAACCAGCCAGCTTCTGGTAAAGGTGGGAGAAAAAAGCAGATAAGCCAACTTAACTATGCAAGGCATCTAAGGAAGCTCATCAAATGTGGCCATCAGATTATGTTCCACCTTCAAGCTTTGTTCCTAAAGTCTCCATCACATCAAGGAAGGGAGTCTGGGAAGTGGGAGAATGAGTAGGAAAAGCAGGCATGTGGTGTGTGTGGAACATGAGAGGGGGCTATGTTAGGACAAGACAGAGGATTAATTTCATCCACCTTACATATCAGCCCGTGGCTGGGCCTGGATATTGCCGAAGATGCTTTCAGAAATAGAAAAATGTATTTCTTAAGGGAAAAATATGTTGTATTTCTTTTGTTTGGCATGGAGTTGTCCAGATCTGATTTTCTGTCACCTCTTTGGTCTGTTTCACAACTGGATGCTAATCTTTGAGCCTTTTGGGAAGGCAGGTCGTAAAGAAGAAACTTTATCTAAGAAAGATATGAATAAATGGAGAGGATCTATGGAGAAATAACAGAAGAATTCTAAAGAGAGGTGAGAGGTATCTTTGACTACTGACCTCCAGGAATCGTCACAGATACTGCCTGCAGAAATGAAAAAGGGACAGAGAGCTGCCCTGGGCCTTCTGAGCTGGCAGAACATGAGGGGGTGAGTTTAAAAGGTAGCACTGGGGATGTAGAAGAGGACTTGATGATTATGAGGATTGGCTATATAAGGGGAACTCATGGAATTCTCCTTCTTGAGAAATACTTATGCACTGGATTAAAAACCTTATGCCTGGAGGTAATTAGCATTTATAGCTATTTGATGCCAGAAAGAAAACAAAGCGCTTCCTCCAGGCTTAAGTATGGGTTGCAATTTTGCAGCTATTCATGCCCTGAGTTCTTGATATTGCCATTGTAATTATTTCACAAGATCCCTTCTGTAAGGAAAGTAACTAAATTCTACTACATTTAATTTAGAGAAGTTTGCAGTCGTGTCTTCCCATTTTCAAAAACTGCCACCTCTGTCACCCTGCACTCTCCAAGCTAAAAGACCTTTCTTTTGCAGAGGGTAGGTTAGATGTTACTGTAAGTTATGGGTGAAAGGAGGCATGTTCCAAGGTAGGATATCAAATCTTTCAAAAGATTCTGCCTACCACTTTCTCTGCTCCAACTGCAGTAGTCCTGCCTGAGTGTGCCTGCTCCCGGTTCTCGAGGCTGTAGGGTTTTACCTTTAGCCTCAGCCCTAGGGTTAAAAGTGTGGCTCCTGCCTTTTTGACAGTTTATTCTGTTCCAGCTATATCTTCCAACCCCTGGAAGAGACAGGGGGCATACCCTTAGCCTTTTCTCTTGCTGCTTCTCTCTTCACCTGGTTTGGGCTTGGGAATTGGAGAAAATACAGATCCGTAAAAACATCTGAAGCCTCCAGAGACTGTCCTAGTTAAAGCTGTCACCAAACTCAGGAGAACCTGGGTATGGGTTCACTTCTGAGAACACACACACACGATGTGGTCACCGGGATTGCAGAACAGCAGCGTAAGGGGCTGGGACACCACATCTAATTCAAAACCCCAGCATTTTATTTTGATCTGGAAGAGACAAGTGTCCCTTCCACTCTTAGCTTGTCTTCACCCTGTGTGTCCCAGGAACCTTAAATATTTTGCACTGTGGTCAGAATTTGGAGTTCAGATGGCTTCTCAGATGCACTTCATGTACTCTCACCTCCAACCAGTAAGAACTTTCACCTCCAGGAAGTAGGGACCATCTCTGTGTTTACTAAAGGGAACTATGGTTAATACACCTGGCTCAGGTAACAAGACTAGCAACTGAACAAACTACAGTTTTGACTCCAATCTGAAGAGTCCCCACCTGAGGGCTGTACTGATACATCTACAGGCAACGAAGGCTTCCCCCCTACCATTCCTGCATTCTCCTCTACGACATCAGACTTCAAGTGCATCTTGTTCAAGGTCGAGTAAGATCTGTTGTAACATTTAACACCCCCTTCCTGCAGAATTTTGCCTCCAAAACAAAGGTATTTTTAGCTTGAAGCGTGGGGCTTCAAGGGACAACTTTTGAAAGCAATAAGAAGTGACTGAAAGCATCTCTAAATTAAAGGTAGTCTTCGCTAGTAAACATTTCTTACAGTAGTGAGTCTGTGAAATGGCAATCTGAGCATCAAGCAATCAAGACACTAACTGATACAAAATGGCAGCCAACATGTAGGCATAGAGGAAAAGTCCACCATCATGACAACTTGCTGGTTTTTTCAAAGGAACAAACTGACACAGAAGAAAGGGAGCAGGAGCAGAGATAGCAGCAGTAAAACATTGAATCCTGGTGAGAATGTGGATGGACTGAAAACCGACCTTGCAGAGTTTTAAGAGGGCAGGAACATAAGTTACCAATAGGAAAAGTCTAAAACAACCAATTTATAACAGAAAGGACTCAAAATCTCTGA